GTGTGAAATCTAGCATTGAATTGTGAATTCGTTTAATTGGGTTGAACAGTTGTAAATCCTATTTATGTTATTTCCTTCGATTGTTATTTCTTTGTCTAAACAATTTTGGTTTAATTTGGATTTTGGAAGGTACCATGTTAACAATATATTTGGTTCAACGTAATTAATTTGGAAATTCTTAAATGTTTTTGTGTATGGACATCTAGTGGGTTTTTGTTTTAAAATCCCTTTTTATACCCGTACTCAAAAAAGAGTTAAGGGGTATATTAGATTTGTGGTAAAAGTGGATTATAGCCAGAATGAAGAAATTAATTTTCTGTTGCTTCCCCTGCCCCCTCCTGCCAACAATAACGCAACTCATTTTCCTTAAATTTTCCTTCTAAATGGTACATGTAGAATATACATGTTAGATGTAGAATATACATAGTATATGTAGATGTAGATAACAGATGTAGCAAAAAAATGTAAAATGTAAAATGTTTTTTTTTTTTAATTCTAAATAATTATATGCTCAAAAATGTATATGCTGACTGAGTACAGGTATAAGTAGAGTCGCGTCCCCAGAAGCGACTCACACGTTCCTTCTCGTTTTTTGTCTGGACGTTGATATGCAATGACTGCACCATCAAGTGGCCCATGCGACACCAAGCCGAAGCGGAACCCAGGCAGAAACGCAGCCCTCCTCCCGCCCAACCGACCGAGGGGCGCTGCCGCATGACGCGCGACGCGTGTTACCGAACCGATCGCGAGCATGAAGGAAAGATAGGTGTTAGACTAAAATTCGAGGAAATTAGAGCTAAACACAACTCAAAGAGCTAAACATGCAAAAATAGCTAAAAATATAACTAATTACGGGAAAGGTATGTTAGTATTAGTGATTTAAGAAGAGGAAGGGAATTAGTAGTTGATATTATGTGGTAGAGGGAATTGAAGTCCGAGCAAAGTACCCTAAATGGTTCGTGCAAGGAATAATTCGATCTACAAAGCGGAGGGAACAAAGGAATGAAGTTTCTAGTAGATCTAATAGGAATCGTAAAGTTTATGCGGCTCAACAAGTCAGGGCTATCTACGTCACCCTTGATCAGGTTGTGCATAAAAATCACACCAAGCATTTTTCTACGACTAGCTAAGGTTGGAAGGTTTATTAAAAGCAACCTACGAGGATAAGATGGCAGTCTCACACCTGCACTGGACTGATTCTATACGGTCCTGGTGTACTTTGTACTGGGGACACCATACACAAGAGCCGTACTCTAAAATCGGACGAGCAAGCGAGATGTAGAGAGTCTTCGTTATATAGGGGTCGCCAAATTCCTTTGACCACCTCTTTATAAACCCAAGCACACCCATGGCCTTATTTACCATGGTAGAAATGTGTTCAGAAAACTTTAACTTTGGGTCTAATTTAACACCAAGATCATCAACCAAGGTAATTCTCTCAAGAGAACCATCGCAGAGGCTATAAGGAGCCAAAAGGGGGCTGGAGCGATGAAATGTCATTACTTAGCATTTCGAGGCATTTAGGTGTAACATATTTGCACAACACCATGAATGAAAGTTATTGAGATCGGATTGCAAGCGAGAGTGAAATGAAATGAATTTCATGAAATGAAATTTGAACGAGCTATTACATAGTGAGAAAGAGAATAGGGAGAACCAACTTCTCGAAATTTTTTATAAAGTCTTGATTTTAAATTTTTTAGACTGCATAACTCTTTGGTAAACCAAGGAGGCTTTCCAGATCTAACCGGACAAGAAAGTGAGACACAAGAATCAAAAAATGTGTCAAGTATATTGTAAAAAATGTTTGTGCCTTTCATAACGTCAGTGCACAAGTACAGAGCGGACCAATCGAAATCCCTAATAAGGTTATTAAGCTTCGTAAACTCGGCTTTACGAAAGCAGCGGACACGTTCAGATAGCCTATCCATTCGATCCAATACAGTAGGGCCAATATCGACTGACACTTCGAATGTCGGATGGTAGGAGTCTTCAGGTATACTGAGCGGAAGGGCTCGGGTTAACAACGCTATGGTCGGATCCGAGACAAAGCACAGATCAAGCAATCGACCCAAGGAATTTTTCACATGGTTGACTTGAGACAGGGATAGGTCTAGCAAGCCGTCGATAAAGTCATGTCGTGACATGGGCACAAGGTTATTAGACTCGTTTACCGAAGACCAAACAGTACCTGGCAAATTGAAATCACCAAGAACTATCATATGGTCTTTATCTGATAGCGAGGAAGAAACAGTTTTTAAAGCGGAGAGGTGATGCTCGTATATTAAGATATCCGAGGAAGGTGGAATATACGAGCAATTATGAAAATGGAAAAGCCTGGGAGAATCAGTTTTACGCACAGGAATTCCAGGTCTTGTTGAACCTGGACCATGAAATGTTCCGACGTGAAGTTTGAGTCCACTGCAATAAGGACGCCACCTCCACGTCGAGACGAACGGTCATTTCTAAAAATTGTGTACCGACATGCCAAATCTTCGGAACTAAGTATGTCCGGTTTTAACCAGGTCTCGGTGAACACAATAACGTGGGACGAGAATGCGAGACTCTCAAGGAAAAGAGTGCTGAGCTTACTACGCAAGCCTCTAGCATTCTGGTAGGTAACTACAAGAGAGGAAGTTAGTTTTTTGGATGGGTGGAAGTAGAGGTGGAAGATGAGGATGGAGATGGAGTCTGAATGCTAGGAAGAGTAATGGGGGGCCTATTCTTTTTCTTAGCCTTAAACTCTTTAACCACCAAATGCTCTGGCCAAAACTTGGCGGAACAAATGGTTTCAAATTGAGTTGGAGAGACGCTTATCTTGAAGGAAGATATCTCCCTGGCGTAAGAAAAGTTAAATTTTTCCACCTTTAAGCCGACGGCTTTTATTTTGCTTTGTATAAAAGCGGTCACATCATTGGATGTGAGGTCAGGGGCTAGCCACGAGACAAAAACTTGCCGCTTTGGTGGGGCTCCCACCAGTGGTTTTGGCACCACAGGCCTAGTACCTGTGATGGCAGTATCCGGTGGTCCTGGACATCTATTAGCTGGTGGGAGCGAAACTGAGGGGATAGTTAAGGGTGCGGACTCGATGGACACGGACTCTACAGACATGTCTAACTGCATACTCTCCGAAGTGACGCATTCGGCTCCCGAATCTGCATCACCAGCAGCGATCGTTGCCCTTGGAGTAGCAAACGTAATCAACTGCTGCACTAAGGGAGTGGTCGGAGTAAGTTTTTCAGATGCCGGTGGACATGAGGCAGTCGGCACTTGGAAGTCCCGCGGAGTCGGCTCCTCGGAGACTCAGCCAGCAGCTGTAAACTGCTGAACTGAGTGTTCATGGCCAAGAGGCGATCATATTGCTGTTTAAAGCCTACGATCAGCTCTTTGAAGCCACTCCGCGTCTGCCTCATGAACGAACGCATGTCGTTTTCCACAGCACGGCATTCCTCACAACTATAATGTAGGCCGTTGTTTTGGGAAATGGCGTCTCCTACACGGCCCGAGATCCCTACACATTTTGCGTGCACTACGCTTTCGCAAAGCCAGCAGGGGATATTGGGCTGGTCATGAGTGATCTGCTTCTTGCAGGTTTTTTTGGCACAGACAAGTTGTGTTTTTACACAATTATCAGGCATGCACCCGCGGTAAAAGTACGATTTTAATGTAAGTTATTTAGAGAGTTAAATTATAGATAAAAACATCGGCTGTTTAAGTTAAACAAAAGGAAAATGCGGAGCGCAAAACAAAAACAGGTCCGGTCACTACGGAAGAGAACGAATTCGAATTTTATACAATTGTCTTCTATTATTTGCTTAGTTTCTTTGCTATATATTTTGTCTTCGTAACTATAATATTTATCGAATATTAATTCTGTTAAAATATTATTTTGATTATCTGGATATGGGACAATTTTGTATACTGGGACATTGGCAATTTCGCTCGGAATATTGGAGATTATATAGATTTCATTTTTATCAACTTTTAGCCATGTAGAAGTGTTATTATCCGCCTTTTTGCCGCCCTGGTATATCGCTCCCAGGTAGCTCTCGGGTAAGTCAGGGGTGTTTCCGACCCGATACCCAGGGGACGGATTAAACAAAAATTATCTACTAACACACAATTGACACATCCAACAAACAGTTGGAATCCTCTTCGTTGGCACTCTCTTCGGCGAGGTCAGTGGATGTCATTGACCATGGCGAGGCCCTCCCTTCCATGAGCGTCCCGTTTTATTTGGTGAGCGCTCCCAATTTAATCTCGGCTGGTCCTTCTCTCTCTCTCACTCGTCCCCCCCACCCACAGGTCTCTACTCCATCATAATTCCTTTCAATGTTCTTCTAAATTCATGTTTTATTATTTAAACTAAATCTACTTATCTCCTATAACATTTAATACTGTTACTAAGCTCAAATAACGAAAATATATACTAACATAAAAAAAATACTAACATTAAAAAAAAAAATACGAAACCTTTTTCATCCGACTTGGCAGCCCCTTTTTTTGATCGAAAACCACAAAACGTAAACAAACTGAAACAGAATGAATGAAATAAATAATCTTAAACTAAAAAGAGCTCTTGTTAGTAAGTTGCATACGTAAGTTGGATTATATAAAAATGGATCGGGGAGGGGTGTGTCGTTCGGGAGTGAAAAAATAGCCTCCGTTTACATTTTGAAACGAACAAAAATTATCTGTTTTACTATATTTTCTTCTTCTTTATTCTATTGCAGATCTCTACTCTCTATATTTTTGGTTTTGTTGGTAAAGAGTGTCTCCGGGATAAAAATGAATATACGTGAATCGGCGTTTGTGTAAAGGGATATGTGGGGTACTAGCTAGGAATGTGATTGATGAGTGCAGGGTGCTAATTTGGTTTTATTTTGTGTTATGGGGTATACGTGCGGGTTCGGTGGAGTGTGATTTGTGAGTGATGTGTGTATGACTGTGTGATGTGGTGGAACGGGCGGGTTGTTGCGGATCAGGCTGATTGTTGCGGATCAGGCTGCCGTCTGTCGATGGGCGGATCCGTGCGGCCCGCAGTCCTCGTCTCGTGGCTTTCCGGCCTGGGGTCTGCCGTGTCCGCTGCAGTCGTCTCCTCCTTCCTGCGCCGTCGTCGTCTCCTGGCTTCAATTGTCGGGGCCGGGTTTTGGTCCCGCTGCCGAATTTGCGTCCTGAAGATACTGTTGCCGTTGTGAGTTTCTCGCCACTGTCTTATTTAATTTGGTTCTCTAACTCTTCTCTCTTTTTTTTTTATAGGCACATGTGGCCTGCTTTGATCTCTCCCAGAAACTGACCCTCGGAATCTAACCTTCACGGCCTCGTTTTTTCTTTTCCAGCCTTGCCACCTTGCTCCCTCCTTGCAACCTTGTTACAGCCTCCCAGGATCCACAACAGAGGCCGCTGTCTCCTCTCCTTCTCCAGCCCTATCGGCTAACGGCTCCTTCAAAAAAAGCCGTCCATAACACCACACTCCCGTTTAAAGGTCCTGCCGTCGAAACGGGAGTGCAAAACCTAGGCGGTTTCCGGATCTTATCAGCTCAAATGTAGGCCATCGCCCACACCCTGAGATCCTCGTCTCACGCTCTACCGACTTATATGACCGGGCTACTGCTTTAGATCTTTAGCATGGAACACTCCTATCCGTGCCCCTTGCAGTGTCTCCAGTTCATATAAGCTGTTTCCTAAGCTCCGGACCACTCTGCACTTTCCATACTTCGGACTAAACTTGGCATTGATATTGTTTTTAAAATTGCTTAATATGAAGTTCCGCTTATACACTTCCTGTCCAGGTAAGTACCGGATCTCTTTTGCCTTTCGATCATACCGTTTCTTCGCTCTCTTGTAGGCCTCATGCGAATTCTTCCGGACCTCATCGCGGATGATCTCCTGCTGGTCTTGTCTTGCCACGAGTGATACCTGCGCATCGTTCAGGGCTCCCAGCCTCCGTGCTAGTTTGTAGTCCCGCCCGCTGGTGAACATGTGCTGTCCGAACAGCACGAAGTATGGTGACGTGCCGATGCCTGTGTGTATCGCACTCCTGGCCGCACACTGTATCTCCGTGAGCTTCTCATCCCAGCGCGTATGATCGTCGCCTACGTATGTCCGGATGGCTGCCTGGACTGTCTGGTTTACGCGTTCTGCTGCGTTTGCCTGAGGGGCATAGTTCCCCGATCTCATATGGGTAATGCTCCTCTTGTTCAGGAATTGTGTGAATTCCGCCGACACAAACTGCTTGCCATTATCGGTGTGTACCGTTTCGGGCACTCCAAACTGCGGGAAGACCTCTTCTCGTAGGAATCGGATTACGACTGCGGAAGTGGCCTTCGACATGGCTTTTAGCCAAACATATTTCGTCATGTGGTCGAGGACTATCAGTATGACCACATTCCCGCTTCTCGTTCTAGGATATGGACCCAAAAAATCAAGATAAAGCTTTTGGATCGGCCTCTCGGTTACTGTTTCCGCCCCCATGAGTGGACGTTTAATCTGCGTTGAGTGCTTTGTCTCCCTACAGGTTTCACAGCCGGTCACGTACGCCTTCACCTGTACTGTCATACGGGGCCAATAGTAATACTGCCGCAGGCGTCCCAGTGTCCTCGCGATACCTCCATGCATTGCCACGTCGCTATCGTGTGCCTCCTGGATCAGCGTGTTCGTCAGTGCTTCTGGAATCCACAGCTTCCACTGGAACTCCTCCAACTCTGGCCGGGCAAATTGTGTACGCCTAAACAGCAGGCCATCCTCCACCTTCAGGTCTGGAAAGTTGTCCCTATCCTGCTGAACTGTCTCTATCCTCCCCTGGTATTCCTCGGCTTCGAATGCTGTGGTGTCGAAGTCCAGGAAGTCGATCGCCTCTACGTCAAACGGACGGGACAGCATATCCGCGACTACGTTGTCCTTCCCCTTGGGGTGCTCTATCTCGAAATCATACGCCTGGAGAGCTAATGACCATCTAGCTAGTCTCCCATCCAGCGCCTTGAACTTCATCAGCCACTGCAAGCTTGCGTGATCCGTTATCACCGTGAATGGCATCAGCTCTACGTAAGCCCGGAACTTCTCTATTGCCTTCACCGCAGCTAAACACTCTTTTTCAGGAACGCTGTAATTCATACTTGTGGATGAATCTTGCTCCAATCCCCACGTGGCTCGCATCACACTGTATAAAAAAGTGTTTCTTAAAGTCCGGGTGGCGTAACAAGGGAGCGCTGGTAAGTGCTTTTTTAGCTTCTCGAACGACTCGCTCGCTTCTACCGTGAGCTTAAATGAACCTTTCCCTTTCAGACAGTCTGTGAGATGAGCTGATAATGCCGAGAAATTTCGAATAAACCGGCGAGACCAGCCGGCTGTCCCCAAAAATCTCCGAATTTGTCGCACGTTCGTCGGCATCGGAATCTGCGTGATCGCCTGTACCTTTTCCGGATCGGTCCTCAGTGCGCCGTCGCCTACGATGTACCCTAGGTACTTCAGGTATTTATATACGAACCTCGACTTCTTTTTCCCGATTGTCAAATTCGCCTCATTGAGACACTTTGCCACCTCCTCCAACAGCTTCATGTGTTCCTCGAACGTCCGGGAAATGACTAGCAGGTCATCCAAATATACGAAGACATGGCTTCGTACTCGCTGGGGAATCACGCGGTCCATTAATCGACACAGCTGCTGTGCTGCGTTGCACAATCCGAACGGCATCGACTTAAATTGATAGAGTGGTCTCCCTGGCACCGTAAATGCTGTATACGTTCGACTTTCGGGCTGCCATCTGCCAAAAGGCGTGCTTCAAGTCAATGCTGCTAATGAACACGGTGTCCTCCACCCGGCTCAGGATCGATTCGATGCTCTGCAGTGGGTAAGCATCCTTGATTGTTAGCTTGTTCAGCTTCCGCGCATTCAAACATAATCGGTTTTTCCCGGCTTTCTCACTAGCATCACCCAATTGCTCCACGGACTTTCGCTGAGTTCGATGACTCCTAGGCGCAGCATCTCATCAACCTCCGCAAACAACAACTCCTGCACTGCCGGGGATACCGGATAGAAGCGCTCCTTGACGGGTACTGCCCCCTCGACTAGGCGTATCTCGTGATTTTCGATCTTCGTTCTCCCTAGACCGTGTGCATCGAACGACCGAAACTTCTCCTTCACTTGGTCCAGCCGTGTCTGTTGGGAGTGTGTCAACTCGTGGGGTTCCATCGGTCTACTCCTCGTCAGCAGTTCGGCCTCGATTTCAGCTACCTCTTCTCCTTGTTCCCGGCTTACTATCTGCGGCGCCAGTCCAAATTTCTGCCAGAAATCGACTCCCAGGTACAAAGGCTGTTTCAGCGAGGGACACAGGAACAATTCCATGGTATGCTTCTGGCCTCCGTAGGTCATCAATGCCGTCACATGACCCAGGATTTGATGAGGCGTGCCTCCTGCGGTTTGTACTGAGGATTTCGTGGACTCTTGAAGTTTCAGTTCTAATTCGTCAATTAACTCCTTTCCACCTCTTCCCAGCAGGCTGACTGATGCCCCTGTATCCAGCAAACCCATCAGTTTCATCGAGCCCAGGCTCACTTGCGTAAATGGTCGGTCATCCTGGCTCAGTGCAGAGCGGATTGCTGCACATATGCCGCGTCTCCTCCTCTGGCGTGCCTGGAACCTGACCCGAGCTCTCTGTGTTCTGGCTGAACCTGTTCGAGCGATCTCTTCCACCTCGTCTCCCATTATCCTCTTCCGGGTCTGCTCGTATCGATGCTGCATTTCTGCTAACGGCTTACGCTCCGACCATCTTGCCCCAGGTAGCACTGCCTGGTTTACCTTAAAGATTGTACTATATATGTTTTTATCCTTAATAATAGGTATGTCCCCTATAGGTGACTGTAAATTAATGTTGGAGGACGGAATTACTGATTGCTTATGGACTTGGAACCCGGCTCCTCCTGTGTCGCGCTCCTTTTTGCATTTCCCGGTGGACATTTCGGGCATTTGGGAAGGATTATCCCGGCCAGCCCACACTTATAGCAGAAAATGTTCCGCACTGCTGACTCGCACTCAAAATATGTGTGCCCCAGCTGAGCGCAATTCCAGCACTTCAGCTGTGTGCGATCGCCCCCAGACTCCTTCGTCCTATAGACTGCATCCAGCGCCTCTGCCGGTTCATCTGGGTCGTGATTATTTACCTCAAGTTCATACACCTTGTGGTCTTCTCTACGCCTGTTCGTCCCATGATCTGGACCGCTTCTCGCCCATCGCGTCGACAGCAGCTTCTCGGTGTCTGCACATTCTTCCCTTAGCTTCTGCATATTGGTTATCTGCATCGGGTAAATGACTCGCGACACTGCGTCTCTGACATTAACCTTAATAATCTTTATTAGGTCGTGATCCGAGAAGGGATTCAGCAACCTCGACCTCAACACTAGCATCTCCTGAATATACAGATACGTCGACTCTCCGTGTCGTTGTCGGCGTTCCCTGAGCTCTTGCCCCCGCTTGAATTCTGTTCGCCGCAATTGAAATCGCTGCTGTAGTCCATATCGCAGGTTCGGCCAATCCGGAACTCCTACCGTCCTCACGTGCATCCAGTACCAATCCCTCGCATGGCCGGTTACCAATGTGTGAAAGGCTTTCAGAAGATCCGAAAATGCTACCTGGTATACTGACTGTAAATGCTCTACCCGGAAGATAAACTCCGCCACGGGCATCCCCTTTGGATCACCATCGAAGCTGAGTCCCCATCAACGAATCTGCACTTGCTCCAGCTTGGCCTCCCCGTTGCTTGGACGATTCCGGTTAAGGTTTGTTCCTGCGCCCCTTGTGTTTGCCAACCAATCATCTACCGGTCTCTGTTCCGCATGGGACCTCTGCTCGGACTCTAACGTTCAAAAGTAGGTTTTTAAAAAGATATTTTATTTAACCGAACTAATATATTAGAACATAGGATATGATAATGAATTCCCCAACTCAATGTTAGAAAGTCTCAAACGGAACTGTCTTCTTGTTCTCGAGTTATTGATCTCGAGACCTCTGTTGGGAAGCTTAAAGCTTATCTCCTTAAGCTTTCGGCTTTGGCTGATATTTCGTCTTCGTAAATGAGTGATGATGGCTTCGGCTGAGAGAGTCGAAGCTTCGGTTGCGAGAGGCGTTGTTTTGGTGAGAGCGGCTGATAACCGATGCGTTGGCCCATGTGTGGGAGGCTTGGGAGATGCGTCAGCTTGGCTGAAACAGGCAGCCGCAGCTGGTGATTGGTGTCAGCTTTCATCTTGAGAACTCAATTGTTTACAAGAGTTCTCCCTTCTATTAGAGTGTGGGACTGATTCTGAATTAGTCATATGATGGAGTGTGGGAACGAGCTGATAACGTATTGGTCAGCGACGTTCTATTGCATTCCAGAGTTTTGGGTTGCATGGGACTTCCTGTTGATTTCGGTATGGACGAATCATGCGTTGTTTATGCAGGTGTTGGGGTATCTTCTTATATGTTTATCTTATTTCATATAGATGCGAATACATGGGTGTAAGGGTGAGTGCTGGGCATATGCATAACGTGTATAGGTGTGGGTGTGGTTATGAATATGTCAAGTGCTTAACGTATACTTAATGCGTATGTGGGTGTAGGGCAAGATGGATATGTTACTCCCCCGGCATTTCATATAAGCCTGTCCTCAGGTTTTCACTTTAAGGTATAGGGAGGGAATTTCATCTATAACTACTGGGGTACTTTTTTCTTCTTCTGTTTCTTCCTCTTCCTTAGGTTTTACATATTTAATAGTTATATTTTTAGGTATTTTCTTAAATTTAACAATTAGATACCCGATTATGCTTATTATTGATAAAATGAACATTATTATTATAACTATTTGCAATATATTACTATATTTTGTTTGTTCTATAATTATTTCTTTTGTCTGTACATAAGACAATGGTTCTAATTTAGTTATGTTATTACTCACATAGACATTTTGTGTGAAATCTAGCATTGAATTAGTTATTGTGAATTCGTTTAATTGGGTTGAACAGTTGTAAATCCTATTTATGTTATTTCCTTCGATTGTTATTTCTTTGTCTAAACAATTTTGGTTTAATTTGGATTTTGAAAGGTTCCATGTTAACAATATATTTGGTTCAACGTAATTAATTTGGAAATTCTTAAATGTTTTTGAGTATGGACATTTAATGGGTTTTTGTTTTAAAATCCCTTTTTATACCCGTACTCAAAAAAGAGTTAAGGGGTATATTAGATTTGTGGTAAAAGTGGATTATAGCCAGAATGAAGAAATTAATTTTCTGTTGCTTCCCCTGCCCCCTCCTGCCAACAATAACGCAACTCATTTTCCTTCTCGCTGGCACACTCTGCCGCGTTCAGTGCGCGAGCATCCCCTAGCGGAGGAGATGTAGAATCTAAATGGTACATGTAGAATATACATGTTAGATGTAGAATATACATAGTATATGTAGATGTAGATAACAGATGTAGCAAAAAAATGTACAATTTTTTTTTTTTTAATTCTAAATAATTATATGCTCAAAAATGTATATGCTGACTGAGTACGGGTATAAGTAGAGTCGCGTCCCCAGAAGCGACTCACACGTTCCTTCTCGTTTTTTGTCTGGACGTTGATATGCAATGACTGCACCATCAAGTGGCCCATGCGACACCAAGCCGAAGCTTGTTACGCGCGGAACCCAGGCAGAAACGCAGCCCTCCTCCCGCCCAACCGACCGAGGGGCGCTGCCGCATGACGCGCGACGCGTGTTACCGAACCGATCGCGAGCATGCAGGAAAGATAGGTGTTAGACTAAAATTCGAGGAAATTAGAGCTAAACACAACTCAAAGAGCTAAACATGCAAAAATAGCTAAAAATATAACTAATTACGGGAAAGGTATGTTAGTATTAGTGATTTAAGAAGAGGAAGGGAATTAGTAGTTGATATTATGTGGTAGAGGGAATTGAAGTCCGAGCAAAGTACCCTAAATGGTTCGTGCAAGGAATAATTCGATCTACAAAGCGGAGGGAACAAAGAAATGAAGTTTCTAGTAGATCTAATAGGAATCGTAAAGTTTATGCGGCTCAACAAGTCAGGGCTATCTACGTCACCCTTAATCAGGTTGTGCATAAAAATCACACCAAGCATTTTTCTACGACTAGCTAAGGTTGGAAGGTTTATTAAAAGCAATCTACGAGGATAAGATGGCAGTCTCACACCTGCACTGGACTGATTCTATACGGTCCTGGTGTACTTTGTACTGGGGACACCATACACAAGAGCCGTACTCTAAAATCGGACGAGCAAGCGAGATGTAGAGAGTCTTCGTTATATAGGGGTCGCCAAATTCCTTTGACCACCTCTTTATAAACCCAAGCACACCCATGGCCTTATTTACCATGGTAGAAATGTGTTCAGAAAACTTTAACTTTGGGTCTAATTTAACACCAAGATCATCAACCAAGGTAATTCTCTCAAGAGAACCATCGCAGAGGCTATAAGGAGCCAAAAGGGGGCTGGAGCGATGAAATGTCATTACTTAGCATTTCGAGGCATTTAGGTGTAACATATTTGCACAACACCATGAATGAAAGTTATTGAGATCGGATTGCAAGCGAGAGTGAAATGAAATGTCCTTATACTGGACACAAAGTTTAACATCATCCGCATTCATGAGTACTCGAGAGTTTGTTAATACTGAAGGCAGATCATTAATAAAGAGTGTGAATAGTAGGGGGCCTAGATAGCCCTGTGGTACTCCAGAAGTAACCTTAACAGGTGAAGAGAAGGAGTTTTTGAAGAGGACTCTTTCTAACGAAGGTAGTTAGAAATCCATCTCGAATGATTAGGCGGAAGATCATGAAGCAGTGAGCTTTCATTTAACAAAGGGCTGAAGATGCCATTCGACCTTGGTAAACTGTATGGATACGGCTGACCAGAGTAGCTTTCATGAGAATAGGTTGTTTGGAAAAATTTGGCAAAAAGATCGGCAATTGCCTGATCATTGTTTGCTGACATATTGAGAAAAGATAACGAGGATGGATGTGCGGTAAAACGGTTAAGGGTCCTGTGAAAATCGTATCCTGCATCGAGATAGGTAGTTTTTATAGCATTGAGCGTTAAGAACGGAGAAATTTGACCGAGCTATTACATAGTGAGAAAGAGAATAGGGAGAACCAACTTCTCGAAATTTTTTATAAAGTCTTGATTTTAAATTTTTTAGACTGCATAACTCTTTGGTAAACCAAGGAGGCTTTCCAGATCTAACCGGACAAGAAAGTGGGACACAAGAATCAAAAAATGTGTCAAGTATATTGTAAAAAATGTTTGTGCCTTTCATAACGTCAGTGCACAAGTACAGAGCGGACCAATCGAAATCCCTAATAAGGTTATTAAGCTTCGTAAACTCGGCTTTACGAAAGCAGCGGACACGTTCAGATAGCCTATCCATTCGATCCAATACAGTAGGGCCAATATCGACTGACACTTCGAATGTCGGATGGTAGGAGTCTTCAGGTATACTGAGCGGAAGGGCTCGGGTTAACAACGCTATGGTCGGATCCGAGACAAAGCACAGATCAAGCAATCGACCCAAGGAATTTTTCACATGGTTGACTTGAGACAGGGATAGGTCTAGCAAGCCGTCGATAAAGTCATGTCGTGACATGGGCACAAGGTTATTAGACTCGTTTACCGAAGACCAAACAGTACCTGGCAAATTGAAATCACCAAGAACTATCATATGGTCTTTATCTGATAGCGAGGAAGAAACAGTT